ATATTTATTAACAAAAAAGTTTACAATTCTGATCGCATTGTCAACATATTTCCAGTACTTGGTAAATATTTATGCTTTTGAGACATACTGCCATTCTCTGTTTCTCTCCCCCGCTGAGAACATCCATCCAGTCCTGAACACTATCCCAGCCTCCTTCGCGTTCCAAGATTTGACCGAGCTGGACATTATCCAAATACTCCTTCAGCACCTTTTATTAAAACAGTAATGACAAGTAAAGGTTAAGAGAATTGTAAACAAGAAGCAACTTTAAAAAGCTATATTACACTATTATGAAGGTGTACCATCAAACATATTACCAAAATACTAAAGTTATTGCTAAAAACAAACGATGTACAATATTCTCAATAGTGACTTAAGTGTTTTTTCAGATGAGGTTTAAGTGAGACAAGGGCTACAGAAATAATTATTTTTACCTGATCAGAAATCCCTTTCTTTCGTTGATCTTCTAAAGTATCTGGATATATGACTTGATCTCTGAGTGTTCCAAGAGTCATATATGGTCTCTGAGGTAAAGTTATAAATGATAAAGTACATCAAATATTTATACATGGAGTAATCAAAGTAACGAGCAAAAAGAATGCTACTGTCACTACAGTACTTTGCCTTACCTGAGGAACATAAAATAACTTTCCTCTTACAGGTTTAGTCAGACGCCCACCAAACAAAGGCCATAACTGCAAGAAGAAAGTGTTTAAACTTGGGAAAAATAAGTCTAGTTACAACAGTGTTTTGGATTCTCCCACCTATAATTTGAAATTGCTCCCTTACCTCACCAAGAACACGAAAAAGCGAGCTTTTCCCACACCCATTCGGCCCACAAATCAGAACGTTTGCACCAGATCGAACCTAAGAATGAAACCCAACACACAGAAACGGTAATGAGAAAGTACTGTTGAAAATGTGTATGAATAATGAGACATGTTACTGTCCTCAGAGGCTTGCACGTAAGCAGCTTGACATTACACTGTGTGATTTTGGCAATTATTTTTTTCCATCCAGTTTAGCA